CCTCTCTGTGTCAGGAAAAGCCTCTCTTGCTTAACTTCATCCCACTGGGCATCTGCTATGGCTGTGGAGAGGGGTGTGGGGAGCAGACAGAGAGCTGGCTGCCTTGGGTATGGAATGTGGCAACGGGAGGCTTGTAGACGAGGGGGAGGGGGACCGGGAGGGGGACCCACCCGTCCTGCCATTGGATCCTCTTCCCAAAGTTTTGCAATAGCTTGCAGCTCTTTGTGCATACACAGTGACTTAGAACAACAGTCTTGTGACACCCAAGAGACCAACACGGTTGTTGTGTCCTGAGCACTAAGAGCTCAAAGGGTGTCTTGAGTTGGTAAGTATGTCTACACAGGAGAAGAAAAGTGATCAACACGTGGGGTTATAAAATGCCAGCTGCCCGGGCTCAGCCACTTCTCTTCACAATTCATAAACATGCATGTCAGGACTTGGTTCCCAGGTCCCTCCTGGCCACCTGTGGGCGGATGGCACGGGTAGGGTTGTCAGATCTGGGTTGGGAAAGTCCTGGAGCTTTGGGGATGGAGACTGAGCAGGACATGGAACTCAGTGGGGCACAGTGCCATAGAATCCACCCTCCAGAGCATCCGTTTTCTCCAGGGGAGATCTCTGTAGTCTGGAGATGAGCTGTCATTCTGGGGGTCCCCAGGTCCCACCTGGAGGCTGGCATCCTTGTTCCCAGCCCCCCCACTCCTAGGTTTGCCAAGAGCCCAGGAAACTGGTTGTGTTTTGACACCTATTACTTTCCAATCTCCCCTTGCTAGAAAGTCCCTTTCCCAAGTAGAAACTGCCAATGTTGAGAGAATTCTCTCCTGTCATACTTTCCTCTGGTTCTCTTGGCCGCCAGGAGTTTGGGGGGCAGAGCTCTCTCAGCCCCACCCACCTCACAGGGTGTCTGTTGTGAGGAGGGGGAGGGAAAGGAGTTTGTAAGCCGCTCTGAGACTCCAAGTGAAGGGCGGGGTATAAATCCAATCTCTTCTTCTTCTTCTCAGCGGTAGAACATCTGCTTTGCATGCAGAAGGTCTCCAGTTAGGGTTGCCGGGTCCCTGCTGGATAGTGGCAGGGGATGGGGGGTAGGATAGCCAGATCCAGGCTGGGAAACGTCCGGATTTTGGGGGAGCATGTGGACCTCAGTGGGGCACAGTGCCATAGATTCCACCCTCCAGAGCATCCGTTTTCTCCAGGGGAGATCTCTGTAGTCTGGAGATGAGCTGTCATTCTGGGGGTCCCCAGGTCCCACCTGGAGGCTGGCATCCTTGTTCCCAGCCCCCCCACTCCTAGGTTTGCCAAGAGCCCAGGAAACTGGTTGTGTTTTGACACCTATTACTTTCCAATCTCCCCTTGCTAGAAAGTCCCTTTCCCAAGTAGAAACTGCCAATGTTGAGAGAATTCTCTCCTGTCATACTTTCCTCTGGTGCTCTTGGCTGCCAGGAGTTTGGGGGGGGGGGGGGGGGCAGGGTGCAAGAGAGAAACCAGAGACCTTTTTCTTTCTCTCCATCTGTATTCCATCATCGCTGTCCTTATTCAGCACTCAGCCAGCGTGAAGCAGAGTCGCCGGCTAACGCGGGCGATATTCTACGCGGTTGGTTCACGCTCAAAAGATGGTGAATCGAGTGCACTTTTTAAATAACTACACATAAAGCCTAGAAAGCACTGATGATGGAGAACAATCAGTAGACAGGTTAGTTAGGCAGAATGGAGAAAGAAAATATGAAAAGCTATCTTGCTAGCCAACCCCGTACTTACAACTGAGTCTCTGCATTCCTCTCCTGGGTATGGGTCTAGGACAGAGCAGCCTGGCTTGCCTTTGAGATCAGTCTCTTGACTCAAAGGCAGGCTAACAGTTACAAAACTGTGTCCAGCTTCGGGCACCACATTTTAAGAAAGATGTTGACAAGCTCGAGCGTGTCCATAAGAGGGCAACCAGGATGGTGAGAGGGTTGGAATCCAAGTCTTATGAGGAAAGGCTGGAAGAGTTGGGTAAGTTTAGCCTGGGAAAGAGAAAGCTTAGAGGGGACATGATTGCAGTCTCCAAGTATTTGAAGGGCTGTCATGTAGAAGATGGCGCAGATCTATTCTCTCTTGCTCCGGATTGCAAGACTAGATCTAATGGGTGGAAATTACAAGGGAGTCAATACCGGCTAAATATCAGGAGAGACTTCCTAACTGTAAGAGTGGTTGAGCAGTGGGACAGACTGCCTCGGGAGGTGGTGGATGCTCCTTCGCTGGACGTTTTCAAGCGGAATCTGGACGGCCATCTTTTGGGTACGTTGTAGGGCTATCTTTCGGCTATGCTCCTGCAGAGTGCAGGGGGTTGGACTGGATGACCTGCCAGGTCCCTTCCAACTCTAACATTCTATTATTCTATGAGTCTTCTGCAGCCTGTGGAGTTTTCTTTCCACCTAGCCAGAGTTTGGGTGCAGGCTTAAAGTTCTCCCTCCATGCCTGATTTTGGCTCCTCCCTTAGGATCATTTCAGAGGGGAGCTGTGTCGGTCTGCAGTAGATCACTTCGATTTGAGTCCAGTTGCACCTTTGTTGTGTTGTTGTTGCTGTTAGCCAGGGGTCATTTTGTAGAAAAAGAGGTACAGGAGCTCATTAGCATAACTCATTAGCATAACTTATTTGCATATGCCACACCCCCTGACATCACCGGAAGTGTGTCAGAAGGCAACACCCACTGCTCAGGCTCCACTGGACTCTTTTGGATTGCTAGCTATTGGGGGGGGGGGGAATGTGCAGATCTGTCCTTGCAGCGAAGGGAGAGCTTGTACCTGAATAAAACTTAGTCTTTAAAGATGCCACTGGACTGTTTTGGACTGGGGAGCCGGCTCTGCAACTTACCTGGCTGCTTCTTGCTCTGACTGAGGGCTGCTGGGAGCAGGGGGGTGGGGCTTGTTGCATGTGCCCCCCCGGGCTCTTTACTGCCGGAGCTCCGCTCCTGTGCGCTCCTGCAGGAAATGACCCCTGTTGTTAGCCATTCGGTTGTGTCCGACTCTTGGCGATTCTATGGGCCAGCTCTCTCCACGTTTTCAGATCTTGTACTGCTTCTTTGCGTCGTTCAGTGCTCAGGCTGATGTCGACCTTCGAGACCAACTAAGATTTTCAGGGTATAGGCTTTCGAGAGCCAAAGTGCCTTTTGTCAGACGCACCTTTGACTCTCGAAAGCTGATACCCTGAACATCTTGTTGGTCTTGAAGGTGCTGGACTCGAATCGAGCTGTTTCACTTAGGACAGGGAGCTGAAGGTGCCAAGGAGGGAAATTAAAATTTGATTCCTCGGCTCCTTTGACAGCCAGATCAAATGGCAAATTGAAGCCGAGGTCCGTTTTTCCTTTGGCTGGCGCATAGGACTTTTATTGTCCCCATTGGCAGATGTATGTGTGTTGTTATAAGAGCAACCACTGAGTTAAGGCTTATGCCTCCACTGGTGTTAACTTAGCTTAGCAAAACTCTGGAGGCTCCAGGAGGGTCCCTCTTATTCTGGCCCCGTCCTCCTTTTGTATACAATCAAGCGTTGCCCAGAAATATCCTCGCTTGGTTGTGTGCTTCTTTTGTGTTTTGGGCTCATCATCTGCTGTCTCTTTTCTCCGTGCCAAGTTGGTGTGGGGGAGGGCTTTGTTGGTATTTGCCAACTGAGGTCCTGCTTTGGGCATCTGATGGACTCTGATCCGTGGAAAATCCTGCCGCCATAAATGTCTTTCGGGTGCCCTGAGATTTTTGTTTTTATTTGGGCCGCAAGAGATTTAACGCAGCCACCAGTGTTCCCTCTAAGCTGAGTTAGTGTGAGCTAGCTCACAGAATTTTAGCCTCCAGCTCACAGATTTTTGTCTTAGCTCAGGGAGGATGACTCCAGAGCAAGCTAATTTATGCAGCAGCCAAATCATTTGCTCACAACTTTAATGCCAGCAGCTCACAAAGTAGAAATTTTGCTCACAGCTTAGAGGGAACATTGGCTGCCACCCCTCTAGAGTATGGAAATGGCAAATTACATTTTGTGGATGATCTTGCGGTCCAGCAGTGTTCTTACTGCCCCGGAACGGGCCTGATGAGATGAGGCAACTGGGAAGTCTTGGTGACTTCTCGTCGGTTTTTGCTTTTCCAGAGAAGAATGTGGACGGGTCTGTTAGAGGCAGTGCAGACATCTGTTTGGGTCTTGTGGTTGCATTTGTGCTTTTGTGTTGCTGGAAGTCTTGTCCACCAGACACTGTTCATTTTTTGGTGGGGGGGAAGCACAAGGAGGGGAGATCCGTACTGTAGTGCTGTGCAAACAGACTGCAGGTGTGGGTTTCTTCTCCTTCCTGTGATTAATTGCACCCTCTCCATAATGAGACCTGCAAGGGAGGTGGAAGGGTGAATCGGATCATTTACCCAGTATGGATATCCCTGGCCTCTTTTAAGGGTTAACAAAAGGAATCTCGGAGAGCTTGACTCCCAGATCTGCACCGTGTCATAGAAATGGGCTCTTGCATGATTGCTTGAGCTGTGGCCAAAGTGGTTTCCAAGCTTTCAAGAAGAGGCTGGGCGAATATTTGTCAGAGATGCTTTAGGCTGGTCCTGCATCGGGCAGGGGGTTGGACTAGATGGTCTGTAGGGCCCCTTCCAACTCTATGATTCTATGACAGTCTTCCCAAGTACTTGCCGTGATTCGGCAGGGGACGAAGACGTCTTTGCAGGATCATTCCTGCGGGGACAACAGACGTGCTGCACCATGCCATCGCCAGGAAGTGACGCCGGGCGACGCTCTGGCAATGAGGCCAGAAACTTGATGGTACCATCGAGTTTTCAGCCCCATTGCCAGAGCGTCACCCAGTGTCATTTCCTGGCGACGGCATGGTGCGTTACAAGGAGAAATGTTCCGGCCGGGGAGCATGTGTCCCCCGCCGGATTGCAGTAAGTACTTGGCAACCCTATAAATGAGTCTTCTTCACTGCCCCATATATGAGCAAGCCCTGCTTGGGGCTAACCTGCTTCTTCTCTTCCTCCTCTTCCTCCAGAGAACGTGACCATCCCAGCCAACGCCAGCCTCTCCACCGGCAATGTGACGACGGTACACGAGGAGCCGGTGCGTGTGAACGGCTGGCTCACCTGCAAGGACC